AGCTGTACAAGAGGTACTCCTAGGCACAAACATGCAATGAACCTAAAATTGTTATATGGTTTACATAAACAAAACATAAACAAGTAAACAAACAAAAAGCTTATAATTTTAGCCAGCATCCTTTGATAAAAAGCCTTGATATTATTGAGCATTGTAACAATGTCAAGGTTTTTGAGGTTCATTGCACTACTGCACTCTCAATCATTATTCCAGACAAATTTCATGCAATTTTTAGGCAAAATCAACTGCAAAATAATTTTTTTCAATTTACTTCAAAATTGTAGGGGTTTTTCATGGGTATCATTTAAGGCGAATGCTCAGGGTGTTATAGGTAACTGTGGAAATTTCATCTCTTATCATTACCCTATTCGTCATTCATGACCGTCAACTCCTTTGACTGGCCTGGAAAGAATTCGTGGACTATCTGGACGCTGGTGTTGTTCGCTATATAGGCTTTCCCGAATTACTCCTTCCCCTCATGTACTTTTATAAAATCTACGAATTAGATTTTGAGATACACCTACTTGCAGAAACGTTGTCATAGAAAATAGAACATTTGAATTTAGTAAAAAGGAATAAACTAAAACAAGACAAAAGAAAGCGTTCAGCCTCAGTGATCTTCTTTTGTCGTTTTTAATTTATTCCTTTTTTACTAAATACAAATGTCCTATTTTCTATGACAACGTTTCTGCAAGTAGGTGTATATGCGGGGTTAAAATCTAATTCTTGTGAATTACGACTGCATCATAGACATAGTTGTTTGATATGATTGTACACTTATTCTGGTCACATCCATAATTAAACTTTAATTGAATAAACTGAAGGAATTACTACAATACACAGTTCCATTTGATTAAGGAACAGTTTTCATTGTCAATCCTGCTTATCATTCATTTCTTCGTTAGTCGGTGATTTAGAAAGCGATCGAGTTTTAGACCTCGAAGGGGATCTTGAGGCAGATTGTTTAGGAGAATCAGACTTCGATCGTCCTCTATCTTTGAAAGGTGAGCGAGATCTTGATTTACGAGAGGAATGCGATCTTGAGCGTGATCGAGAGCGCGAGCTATGGCGACGCCTGTGATGATTGGATCGTGACCTGTTGTAAAAAAAAAACTGTCAATCTTAGGCTTAGGGGTATAGTAACAACAAGGGTAATAAACGTATTGCTATAGCATAGTTTTTTCTTGGACTCTTTCTACATCTCTCATTCAATTGTAAGTCGCCAAGCATCAAAATTTAAGTTGGCAGTGCATTAATTCAATTTTGATATTTTTTTACAGAAATATTAAATGTTATGTAATGATAAGAAGTTGATGATTTAATTTGCAGCTGATCTAAAAATCAAGTATGAAGTATAGGTTAAGGCTATAATAAGTTGATAAAAATGAAAGAAATAGTTGAAACAGCAACAGTTGCGATCCAAGTGAAGTATTTTGCAAAATGCTTTTAATGGGAAAACGTCTCATTTTACAGCTTACCTAGATCTACTGCGACTTACTGATCTTGATCTTGAGCGAGACCTTGGACTTTCCTAACATTGCAAAAAAATTAAACTTTACTCCTTTCAAAAAAGGGTACTAAAAAATCATAAATTGTTAAAAGCAAACTTTTCCTTTTTGCTTTAATTTGTTCTTCTACCCTGATTCCAGAGGCTTGTCTTTTATTCTTTCTGAATTCTTTGCTTACTGTGTTATTGAGCAGCGATAACACAGTAACGGAAACGTCTCGCCGGTTCGCGCCTCGATAACTTAGTAAGAAAGAAGACAAGCCTCTGGAACCAGGGTATTGTTGTTCTAACTCGCCCRCAAATGAAGGATATTAATTAACTTGTCATAACTCGTACTTAGGCTACCCTTAAGTGCATCATAGTTTTATAACTTTTGTATAGCCTCTCAKAAACGCCGACAGATTTGCACGGAGCAGTTAGGAAATTGTGTGATCAGCACCATCAGTATCCTGTAAAACTCTTCAACAAAGGTTCAACACGAAAACGAAAGGACCGGGAAGTGAAAGCGACTCAGAAAGAGCTTATTGAAAGAACTTTTAAATTAGAAAATATGTAGACACAAAGAAACTACTAGCTTGGCTAAATACCTATGGAAGCAGGCTTCAGAGTTCAGAGAAATTCGGGGTTGAAAAACTATTCTCTTAATTCGATGACATCACATGACGTGCATACTTACATCAATTATTTTGATGCGTTTACCACACAGTTCTCTGCCATCTAGTTTTCTGACAGCTCTCTTCAGATCTCGCTTGGAATGAAACTCAATAATGCTGCAATGTAAAAAAAGCATTTACTGACAGTTATTTTTTTTCATACCGGTATCATTTCTTATCACAAGAGGCAAGGCAAAGAGCAAAAATATGATTCAAATATATCCAGGAGCAGAATTATCAAAAGACAGAAAATATCAAGAAGTTTTACAGCTCTCTCTTCTGTCTTTTCCAAGACAATACAGCCTCCTCGGMAGGCAATCTTTTGGATTTTTTGCTATTCACTTACATTGGGTTTCAATAAAAGAATTCGAGCGTTTAGGAAAGGGGTGAAAAGGAGCCCATGTAGAGGAAACTGTACTACAAATGTAGGTCTGATAGGATACAACYAATATATATTATAGAAAACAGCAGTTGTAAAAGCCTAAAAAGATACAAAAGATACATTGCCAAAAGATGCCATTCCAAGCAGTAAGTGTGACATCACATACATGTACATGGACAAAGTCCACATGAACATTACGGTACATGAAGGGCCACAGATAGATCCATGACTTATATGTAAAAGCACAATGTTTTTGTAGTCTAGAAAAACGGCTCTTTCTTGGTGTTGCAAKCCACCAAACTCACTATTCTTTGATTGTATTTTACCTCCTAGACAATTTTTTTCTATGGTGCTGAATATGTTATTATGATTCTATAACACAAAGTACAGGGATTTATTGCTTCCTTGCTTCTTTGCATGGTGTACATGATATGTATCTAACTCTACAACAACCACTGGGAAGTGGGTCAGTGGGACACAAGGACACTGACCCACTGACCCAGGGCACTTGATTGCTTGCATGATGCATATTACATGTATCCACTTCTAAAACAAACACTGGGTCAGTGGGACACTGGGACACTGACCMAGGGCACTTGATTGCTTGCATGATGCATATTACATGTATCYACTTCTAAAACAAACACTGGGTCAGTGGGACACTGGGACACTGACCCAGGGCACTTGATTGCTTGCATGATGCATATTACATGTATCTACTTCTAAAACAAGCACTTGGACACTGGGACACTGACCYACTTCCCTGGGACACTTGTTCTAGAGGTAGATGCATGTAATATGCATCATGCAAACAATCAAGTGTCCCGGGTCAGTGGGTTGGTGTYCAAATGCCTTGCAACACCAAGAAAGAGCCCRAAAACATGAAATTCAGGTATAAACAGGGATTCATGTACACCAACTTACCCTTCCCCCTGTCTTGGCTTGTGYGCATCACCATATGCAACATCGCCAACTTGTCGTGCATAGTCTTTTAGGTCCTGTTCCAACAGCACAATGAAAGATTATCAATATTCTGCCATATCAAACAGCGATGTACCAACATAGRTTCATATTGTACTTGTGTACAAACTGTAAGTACAATAAATGTAGCTGTTTCTACATACAATTTTGTTTTAAATGGCAGGAGACTCTAAGACATTTTATATATAGCAACTTTAAATCTGTAAAAATGGTGAATATTTTGAATGATAACAATTTCCAATTGAACCAGTGATGCTACAATTTGTAGTTGTTGTTTTTTTTTGTACCAAATATAATGTTAAGAACATAGTACTAAATGCTAAATTTAACTTGAATAATTTGAAATATCAGAATGATTTTTTTTAAGTAGTCTAGTACATTATTTCATTTGCTCTCTCTGACAAAAGACCAACACCAACACAAACATTAATTTACAGTACTTGCTCAAACTTTTTATGATGTAAAATATATCTAAATTTCTGTAGGRTCAAGTTTTTAAATGATGTCATTAATTGCATGTCTAATACTATTAATTTGCATTTTGGATAACATTCCTTTTGTTTTTGTTAGAGGGTAATACAGTCTAGCTAAGTTTATATATGACTTTTAAGTGATAGTCATTTTTGCACTTTTGGTTTTCTTGTTACAATGTTTACCTGTTTTTGTCTGTAAATAATAGGCAGACAAAAATATGGTACTGATTTCAACTATCTGTTTGAGCACTCTGATTAGTAACAAGAAAATATATATAGCCTCTTATTTGTAAGTATGCTCCTGGTATGTTTTTACAATGTATTGTTATTGTGRTTTTTTTATAATTATACTCTGCTTTTTATTAGTCAAGAGTTTGTTCTATCATAATTGAGCTTTGTTAATTTTATTGTAATTCTAGTTTTTATAATAATTKTCCTTCTTGGTATCATACATACACACTGTAGTGAGAGATCTTGTGCCGTTGTAGGCGTAATTTTATGGTGATGGCTTTTACTTCTACAGTATATAATATTGTCTTTATAATCATGAGATATTTTATAGTGAAAATTTGACTTCAAAGAAAAATTCAACATTCTAACATTATTGATTGAATTACATGTAATGTTAGTATCTTAAGTCCAACAAAGCTGAAATATTGATAAACAAAGAGTTTCACCCGTGTTTAATCATTTTTCAAATTTTTTGGTGAATACTGGCTTTAAAAAGTACTATGGGATACCATAGGTTGAGTTGACATCAGTCATGAGGCACAGCAAGTCATCTATCAGTGTTTGCCCATAAAACCCTCTGTGCCATCTGTGAATCTTTAGAGCATCTATTCCCTTATTGATCTCATACATCAAGCATCTACTCATCTAGACATCACACATCTAGACATCTCTGTGCTGAAATATTGGATGGTAAACCATGAATACAATGGCCTTAGTTTAWAGTCAATAATTTCAGCCTCCCCAAACACACTGAATGGTTGAAGAAATACAATGTACAATCAGATCAAACTTAGTTCACTGATTACATATAAGAAAGTGAAAAAAGGGCAAAAGAATCTAAAAAAGCAATATTRTGAACTCTCACTGACTACTTTCACAATAACTTAGAACTGACCTGCCATGATACACGGCTTGATAAGTTTTCCACAAGCATTCTCCATGGAGTTCGGGTTGGTGGTCCATACCTTGATGTGAAAACAAAGAACAGAACATTTTACTTAAGGTATCTGGATGCAGTTGTTTAGAACACCGACCGGGATGAAAGAAATGRCTACAGCCATATCTTCCAGTTATTACACAACTTTTGGTGTTCAACCAAATGAGTTAGGATATCAAGTGTCTTATAGAATGACAAAAGAAAATTTAACTTTCCACAGTACCATGTTYCCAGGCACTGAACACACCATCAAGCTGAAAGAAGCCATGCATATCAAATGGAAATTCCTGCCGAAAACCAACAAGTCTATCACACTAATTTAAGTCTTACTATGTAGTCTATATCCTACATTCTAATGTCAAATCTAAATTTGCATAACTTTAAAAATGTTATAAACTACATCCAAATTATAATTCTATTTTTCAAAAACTCATACAAGCCATAATTAATGAGTTATTAGGCCAATAGAATGAGCCTATTAAGGCCAATTTAGAYGACACAACTTTTGGCTACAACTATCGCATGAGACCTGCGTACGTCATCCTTACGACATGGCTACAACTGTCGTGAGGCTATTAAGCAATTGTTTAAAATCCCTATGGCAGTTGTAGCCATGTCGTAAGGATGACTTACGCAAGTTGCATGCGATGGTTGTAAGCAAAAGTTGTGCCATCTAAATCGGCCTTTAGATCATATGCATGGACCTTTATATCTGATAAAACACTCCTTATTAGTATTCTTTTTTAGTATTGTAAAAAGAATACTTATAAGGCTGACCTTTATCAGATATAAAGGTCCATGACCCAAGCAAAGGTCTCAGGTTTCATACCTGATCATTGACCAATACAGGATTTCAACTGATTACAGTAAACAGCCATCAGCGCTTCTACATGTATTTTACTTTATGCGTATTCAATGTGGGATGACAAAAGTGCTTTGTTAAGTAATTTGTGCATGATCAATTTGCCCCATTTATCTCAAACCTTATTTTTATGGCAATTTCTCCAAGAATTTTTTCAGATTTGAGTTCAAATATTTATACCTGATAATACCATGATCACCTCGGATTCTTTTGTCTTCCGAGGGATGTTTACAAGCGAACATCCCTCCCTCATGAATGGCATGAGGGACGATTACTAGTAATCGTCCCTCATGCATAATAACATGAGGGACGATTACCAGTAATCGTCCCTCATGCATAATAACATGAGGGACGATTACCAGTGCACAGAATAGTCAATAGCAATTACATGTTATAGTACAAATTTGTGTTCATAGTACTTTCAGAAAGTGCATTTAGTACTTTCAGAAAGTACAAACTTGTCTGAAAAAAAATCTCCTAGTACTCACTTGTCTCTTGCTCTGGAGTGCTTTGTACTACTATATCCTTTGGATGTCCCACGAGAATGCTCCACTAGTATTCTTTTTAAAAATAAAATTACAAATGMTATTAAAACTTACTTGTCTCGACATTACCACTAATTTGTAACAAAGTAAAAAATATAGTATATCATAATACACACTATTACAAATCAGAAATTGCATGGTTCAATGGTCTTGTATTACACTGACTAAAATGAGTGTTAGTTATCACCTCTCTCCTAGTAGCTCTTTTCCATTGCAATCAAAAACTGCATCATCTGCATCTCTGGGATCTTCAAATTCCTAATAATCAAACATAAATTAGACATAAATTGGTGGAAGAATAAAGTGAGCGCCTTATGGGCCACCTTTTCGCAATTTACAGATTTAGGTGAGAAAATTGTAAATTGCGAAACGGTTTTGTTTCGCAATTTACATTCTGTAAACTGCAAAACTGTTTCGCATTTTACAGATAAAAAAAAAACTGTAAACTGCGAAATGAAGACATTTCCATGTTTAAACTGCCAAACATCAACTTAAATTCTAAACCGTTTCACAATTTACAGATTTTACAAAAACTGTAAACTGCGAAATGAAGACATTAGTGACGTTAGTGACAAGTAGTGACGACTGTAGCCACGCATTTTTCTTATTTTTAACGCACAACAGAACGACATATCATACACAGGGAGCCAAAACGCTTGG